TGCATGTGCAGAGTAGCGGAGCTAAGAATGAATCCTCCGTTCAGATATGGAAAGATACACTGCCATCTTTTTTGTCTTTTGTGCATGCGGAGAGTAGTGGAGTTAAGCCTTGTCGACATTGTCGAGAGTCGTGGAGCAAGGCCCCTTACTTCGTTGGTTAAGGCGGACAGTTGACATTGCTGGGGATGGCTGCGCGCGCGCGCGCGAGAGAGAGAGAGAGAGAGAGAGAGAGAGAGAGAGAGAGAGAGAGAGAGAGAGAGAGAGAGACTGTTCCATCGAGGGCGTCCAGATGACAGCATGGGGGGCAGATGCGGGGTTGAGATTGTGTACGAAGGCGGGTGGGGAGGACCACAGACATGGCCGGGGATGGGTGTGCAACAGACAGAGAGATGGGTGCAAGAGAGAGAGAGAGAGAGAGAGAGAGAGAGAGAGAGAGAGAGAGAAGGTAGAGCATCTCCATGTCGGGATCGGGTGGGTATGAGCGGAGATTGCATCAATCGGGAGCGGGGAGCCGGTGGGGATGAGCGGAATGTTGTGTGTGTGTGTGTGTGTGAGAGGGAGAGAGAGAGAGAGGGAGAGAGAGAGAGAGAGCAGCCCTCCCCATCAGCACCACCTCAAAAAAAAAAGGAATCTACCCCTGTTCTAGCACAAGATTGTAAATGGCCAGCTGGCAATGAGATCCTGTCGCCCTCAAAATCGGCAAATGAAACAGCGCCCTGCGTGGTTCGAACGGGCGCCACGGAAACGCAAAAAAAAGAATAATGTGCCGCCACGCAAGAAACTTCAGGAAAAGGACAAAAAACAAAAGACAATCAGAATCTACCGAACCGCTGCACTATGTACTTGTATTCGGAAACGCATGGTGTACCCCGCCCACGTGCGGTTTCCCTTGGGCCCGACACCCCCTGTCCCAAGCGTTTTCCGAAGACTGGCGGCCAGGTCTTGCGGGGGCGTCACCCGAGACCCACTGCAGTCTCTACTAAGAGTATATACTAGTAGACAATGGGGCCTTCAACCAGCCACAATCACAAGATGGAAAAACCTGCTGAACACAACCACTGGAGAGAACTCCAAAACTTCATGGGAATATCAGTGTATCACACCATTAAGATTCTACAGCCTCTTTTTTTCCAAAACAACAACAACAACAACAACAACAACAACAACAAAGAAAAAAAAAAAAAAAAACCCGTATGGCTGCCAGGGGTGCTGATGAGAGCAGTGACCACTACTAGCACCCCAGCCAGGCTCCATCTATTAGTGGGGATCGGCACCTGCTGGAAAACGGGTCCAGCATCTCCAACGGCGCTCCATGAGAAGAGGCAATACTTCCGGACTGGTTGAGTACGGACTCAGTTTTTGGGATCCAATCGTCTGGATTGACTCGGTGCTAACTTTGAAGCCATTTTTCAGGTCCCTTTTCTGGAAACGTGCTGTACCCTCACATTTCTCAGATTTGCCCCGTGTCCATTTTGGTGCCAGAATTCCTTCTCAATTTTTTGGTGCCACCAGTTCACCTTGAGTCTGTTCAGACTCCAGAGTCTTCAGGAGTGCAAACCCCAACCTGCACTCAGCCGCAGTATTTATAGCAACAGCCACTAGTACTGTTCGCTCACTTGTTGATTCATTCTATTTGTGGTTCAATCGTTCAAGTGAATCTATTGCGCTCCATGAATCTTCATGTGTCGAGTACCTTCCATGTCATCATCTCTCTGTTCTTCTCCTCCATAATGCGCACTTTTGAATTCTCTGAGTTCAAGCTCCTGTGCGTGGGAGTCGAGCCTCTCCAACCCTTGTGAAACCCCTCTCCACCACTACTGGTACACGGGTATCAGAGCAGGTCTTTTCTCTGGCCTGTTCACCAGCCCTTACATTCCGAAGAAACGCCTGTGATTGCCCTCACGCTAGCACTGCTTGCCCTGCTTGCCCTGCTTGCCCTGCTTGCCCTGCTTGCCTGTCTTCAACTGGAGTGGCATGCACACATACGCACAAACTGGTTGTGTCCACCATTGAGATCAAAGTGGGAGAGAAGCCAACAGAAGGATAAGAGGCATGGAGAGAAGGCAGGCGTTTCACACAATTAGAAAGCTCTCACCTGCACACACCACGTTAACCTTGAAGATCGCAGGGAACAGCAAGTAACCCGCGATATGCACTGAAGAATCCAACAACAAATGTTTTTGGAGAATGAGCCACATTGATTGTGCACACATGTTTTCTCAGCCTGCCCACTTCTGAATCCGGTCTCTGTTGTCGAGAGATCCATCACACATCCCAGACATTTGTGGTTGTGAAGGTGCTTTATCAAGCGAGGTTGGCGTGTTCAAGGATCCTGGACAACCATCATACCAGTTGCAGCTTTTCTATGCATCGGAAATTTTCTGTGTCATGTAGCAGCTAAACCCACAGGAGTTTACCGGGGGCGAACCGGAGAGGCCTTTTCCCGCTCACCCCCTCCCCCACCAACTTGTATGTCGTTCTTTGAAGACTATTGGAGATACTTTTCCCCTGTGTCACGTCAGAAACACAGAGAGAGAGAGAGAGAGAGAGAGAGAGAGAGAGAGAGAGAGAGAGAGAGAGAGAGAGAGAGAGAGAGAGAGAGAGAGAGAGAGGGGGGGG